CAATAATGAAACTGCCGACAGAAACAAACAAACAAGCAAATAATAACGTGATATGTAATTTCTTTTGGGAGCCTCAAATATTAATTTCACATTTCTTCCATCCCACTCAATTTTCCTTTGAAGGCATATCCTCTTAAATTAAGAAAATTTTTAAAAAAAAAAGGAAGAAGAAAAAAAACTTGCCTCAAGTGTATCCAACTAACAAAAATATTTAAATGTAATTCATTAATGTCAAGTAATTATATTAATAAAAGGAAACATGCCAAGCGAATCATGTAGTACTTGAAAGCGTCAAGATCTGTTCTTTTCTTCACGTGACATCACTGTGTTTAATATCCCCTTTTCAGCGTCTTAAAGGATAATATATCTAATTTTTATTATCAGAGGTAGTTGATTAATTTGAATAAATTAAAAAAAATGATTAAGTCAGTTATTTATTATAAATAGATCTTATCTTTCTTAAAATATTCTTGCTAATCATGTGTATTAGCTAAAATTATAATTTTTTTAAATATGTAATTATGTACTACAAGGAATATTGTAAAAAAATAAATAAATATGAGAGACAAAATGAATTAATGTATTATATTTAGGACCAAATCAAATATCAAATTAGTCTTTATACTCCTCTGGTTCTTAATATAAAACCTATTTAACTAATTTGATTAGATTAAAGAAATTAGGTAAGTTAGTTAATTATAAGAAATATGAAAAAAAATTTTAAAACACCATAATCATCCTCCTTAATATTTTCTCAGTTCCCTCCCATCTTCTACTTGATTATAGGTAAAGGAATATCCATAAAGGTAATTTAGAAAAAATTGATAAATATGATAAATATCTCTTATATTTAGGAGCAAAAGTGACTCAATAATTAGATCTTATATTAAGGATCAAAAGAGTATTAAGTATCTACTGTAGTATTTGATATTTGAATCAAATGACAAGTGACAACCCTTCAACTTTGTTCCTATATTTGGAAAGGGTAGTTATAATTTAACAACTTGCGAATAAGATTCTTTAATTTTTTAAATAAAAGCTTAAAGCAACAAATTAATGATTGACAACACATTTTAAAAAGCACGTGAAAATAAGTAATAAATCTGAACTCACGAAAATGTGAAATAATTAAATAAAATAAAATAGTGTGTGGCAGTTAGTAGTGTACGATCATGGAAGGTAGCAAATGGCAACGAAAACGTGAAGTGCACAATGGCAGTATTGCATTTTTCGCGGGTTCCATGCTAATGCTTTTTATATATATAGAGCTGGTCTTCCTTCTCTCTCGGCACGGAAACCTCCATTGTTCTGCACTTCCTTCTTATTCTGCTGCTTCTTCTTCCAGATCAGATCTACAAATCCACGCCGCTCTGCATTTGAAGGTATTTGTTTTGCATATATTTGATTAACTGGAAAAAAAAAAATCGATTATCGGTTCTTCTCCTTGCTTCCACTGTTGTTGTTTGGCTTCTCAGTTGAACTACCTGAAATGCTTCCCAACCACTTGTCTTTTCTTCTCTCCTCCTTCATTTGATTTGCGCATTGTTGTTTCAATTTGAAGTGGCTTTTGTTTTTGCCTTGTTTTTATAATCTTAATGATTTGTATATGATAGTTTCTTTTTTTTTTCTTTTTTTTTTGTAGAGAAATTTGCTCGCTGATCTCGTAAATTATCGTAGATCCGGTAGCTAATGATTTTGTTACCGGAATTTACGCTCTTCAATCTGTCTCTTCTCTTTTTAAAGTCTCTGCGTGCATGAGTGCGTGTAAACAGAAGATGGATGAACTTAAATCATTGTGAATATTACTTCTGACGAACTGTACACAAGCCTTCTTACCATTTTTTCATATGGAAATTTTTGTATATCGGAAGAATGTGTGTTCTCGTTTTTTCTTTTATTAGCTATAAACTCAGGATGATTTATCCCCATTTTTAGTCTTTGAATTGTTATATTTCGATACCTATAATATAATATAATCATGGTGTATCAGGAAATTTGAGTTCCTCGAAATTGACCATTCACTCTTGCAGGCTGCTGAGAAGAAACAAAGATGGTGAAAATTTGTTGCATTGGAGCTGGATATGTGGGTGGACCCACAATGGCTGTGATTGCCTTAAAGTGTCCTGAGATCTCAGTAGCTGTGGTGGATATCGCCACCGCACGAATCAATGCCTGGAACGGTGACCACCTCCCAATCTACGAGCCAGGCCTCGAAGAAGTGGTGAAGAATTGCAGGGGAAAGAATCTTTTCTTTAGCACTGATGTGGAGAAGCATGTTGCAGAGGCTGACATAGTCTTCGTCTCGGTGAACACCCCCACAAAAACTCAAGGACTTGGAGCTGGCAAAGCAGCTGATCTCACCTATTGGGAGAGTGCTGCAAGGATGATCGCTGATGTTTCCAAATCTGACAAAATTGTGGTTGAGAAATCCACTGTTCCTGTGAAAACAGCTGAGGCAATTGAGAAGATCCTGACCCACAATAGGAAAGGCATCAATTTCACGATTCTGTCAAACCCAGAATTTCTTGCTGAGGGTACAGCAATTAAGGACCTACTCAATCCTGATCGAGTCCTTATTGGAGGTAGGGAGACCCCAGAAGGTGCTAAGGCTATACAAGCTTTGAAAGATGTTTATGCCCATTGGGTCCCTGTTGACAAAATCCTTTGCACCAACCTATGGTCTGCTGAACTCTCAAAGCTTGCTGCCAATGCTTTTCTGGCACAAAGGATCTCTTCTGTGAATGCCATGTCAGCACTCTGTGAGGCTACTGGAGCTGATGTCACACAGGTGTCACACGCAATTGGCACAGACTCAAGAATTGGACCCAAGTTCTTGAATTCTAGCGTTGGTTTTGGGGGATCTTGCTTTCAGAAGGACATTTTGAACTTGGTCTATATCTGTGAATGCAATGGGCTTCCTGAGGTTGCAACTTACTGGAAACAAGTGATTAAGGTGAATGACTACCAGAAAACTCGGTTTGTGAACCGAGTGGTTTCCTCCATGTTCAACACTGTATCAGGTAAGAAAATTGCTATTCTGGGCTTTGCTTTCAAGAAGGACACTGGTGATACAAGGGAGACACCTGCCATTGATGTGTGCAAGGGGCTATTGGGAGACAGGGCTCGTTTGAGCATATATGATCCGCAGGTCACTGAGGAGCAAATCTCAAGGGATCTCTCAATGAATAAGTTTGATTGGGACCATCCTGCTCATCTTCAACCAACAAGCCCAACTTCCATTAAGACGGTGTCTGTGGTTTGGGATGCCTACGAGGCAACAAAAGAGGCTCATGCTGTTTGCATTCTGACTGAGTGGGATGAGTTCAAGAAGCTTGATTACCAAAAAGTTTATGACAATATGCAGAAGCCTGCTTTTATATTTGATGGTAGGAACATTGTGGACGTGGAGAAGCTGAGGAAAATTGGGTTTATAGTTTTCTCCATTGGCAAGCCTCTAGATTCATGGCTCAAGGATATGCCTGCGGTAGCTTAAAATGGGGTTCCAACCAAAATTTGCAGAGGCTCTTAGGTTGAATTTGTTGGGGTTTCAGGGGGATTGATTATCACAGTCTGATACATTAAGCTATTCTTTTAAAATAGTTTAATTTCAGTTGCTATCGTGTCTTTTCATTATTTTGATTTGATCAGGCTTTGTGGCTTGGTAGCGCCAATTTGTTTGTTGACCAGGTTTTGATTAAATAAATGAGCTCCGCCATAAATTTTACGCAGTTTCTGCCTTCACATTAAGTAGAATGATTTTTGTTTTTATTCTCTCACTAATTTCCTCCCTCTCATCATGATCGTGCGAATGATAGACAACATATTGGCAAGAAATATTCTTTTTTTTTTTTTGGGGTATCCAAACAGTTATTCTTTCATTGGTGAAGGGAAAAAAAAGAGAGTATTTTACTAGAAAGAAAATGACACAAAATATGATTTACTAGTTCAGTACAAAAAATCATTGAAAGATAGAAAGAGAATAAAATGAAATAGGCTTTGGGGAGACCTTAAAGAGTTATATCATTTCATATGAGTTTTTGGAAAACTGACAAAAAAATACCTGTAAATTTTTAAAATAATAAACAAGTGATTTTGATAGATTTTGAATTGTCAAAATCGTTATAAGAACAGTTATAAGGTCATTATAAGAGTAGTTAATATGATTTATTTATCTTTTTAAAATTTAATAGGTATTTTTGGGTCATTTTTTCTAATTATTTTTATTCAAGCCAACATTATAAATTTAAATACACACTTCAAATGTACTTACTTTTAATGAACAGACTTCTCAACAATATCACAAACTACTCTTAGCATGTTTTAAATCTCCTCAACTAGACTCCTCCACCAGTGCATATAACTCACAAACTCCTCAAAAAAGTGTGACAGCGGCAAAGTCATTTTCAAGCACAACAAGCTTCTTTCCCACCTCCCTCATGTGATTATTAAGCTTTGCATCTAGTTCTGCATGCAATTAGTTTTTTTTTTTTTTAATAAAAGACGTTAAACATACTGGCTAGTAAAAAAAAAAAAACCAATGTTAAATACGAATCTTTATACAACACCTGCTTTTGTGATCTCTCCTTTAACTTTTCACTTATTAAATAGTATATGTGCCACTAAGCTATAAAGTCATTAGCTTTTCTTATAATTCATAATACGCAAGTATTGCCAATTGTAATATCAGAAGTGTAACTTAGAATCAAATTAAAAATAAAAAAATTAATTTATTTGTAAAATTTTTGAATCGAATTAAAAATAAATATATCAAAAATAAAAAAAAATTGGTCACCTTGAAATAAAAAACCTCCGTAGTGGCCGAACAAATCGAAAACCTTTGTCATGATGGAATCAATTATTGAAATAAAACTGGGCCGGTTTTGCCCATAAGAGCCCAATTCTAATTCAGGCGGGTCATCGCTCCTCCCACAACCCGTTTTTTTTTTAATTCTGACCATCTCGTGTACAAAAAGCACGAGCCGTATCTCGACCTTCATCGCCTACCTCGTTCGATCTTATTCTCTTCGATATTTGATTCGCTTCTAATTAGTGCTGCCAATCCTTGAATCGGACCACGTTTTCGTTTGATTCTCGTTCTCCTCTTTCGTTTGATCCCAAACACGACTCCTTTTGTGATCTTTACCACATTCTAGGTTTAGGGTTTCGATTAGGTTCTCAAAGACTCTGTAATCGTCTAATCTCTTGTACGATTGGTACATATTTGTTTGTTTCGATTTGCGTTCATCATATATCTCGTTCGGATTTCACATATTATTCCCTGTCGCTTACGAATTTAGGGTTTCGAAGCGTTCGACGTTTTAGGGTTTCTATTTCTGTAAATTTGTCAAGGGTTCTTTAAATTGTTTGAGGGGCTTGACTCCTTTTGTTAGTCTACGACATTTTCACGCTCGTGTGGGTTCTAATTTCGCCCTTTGCCCAGGTAGTTGATAATCTAGCGTTAGGGTTCCAAAACAAATTGGGGGTTTTTCTATTTGGTGAAATTGATTTAGGGTTTCTGGTCCTTGACGTGGAGAAACTACCTTTAGGGTGGAATTCTTTATCAATTTCTCTTTAATTAGATTTTGGGTTTTCCCTGTGACCTTAATCTGCCCTCCCAAGCGCTGCGTAGGCGGGTTGCTGTCATTGATTTTGAAGGGCTTGACAAGGTGAGAAATAATTCGTCATCACTGTCAATGTTGCCATTCTCATTATTGATGGGGCTGAGAATGAATTGATGATGAGGATGTATGTGTCCTTTAATAAATGTAAAGTTTATTATGATTATGGTTATGATGATTAATAAGTATGTAATTATTCTCCAACATTGTCATATGTGAGGTGAAATATGCATGAAACGAAGTGAGTTCAATTATGATGTTGGGTTCTATGCTGGGTAATGTTATTAAGTTAAAGACATTGAAATTGAAGTAATAGGCAAGATGGTCAACTGTAAATGTAAATATTTTCTAAGGGAGAGATGTCACCGGGCCTAATGTTTGAGAAGATGAGCAGTTAGTGGCTTGAACCTTTTTGTCAGCAGTGGCATGGTGAGCTGGGGCTTGCTTGTTGTGTTGGTATGAACTCTTAATTTTCCCTTTGCAGAATCAGAATGGGATTTAAACGGTGTTTTGAGGCCAATGAATTTGAGGATCTTCCTTTCAACAAGGCAAAGCGTTTGGAATGCAATGACAAATTGGTTTCATTTGCTGGTACTGATAATCCCAACAGTGCTCCAGTGAAGCCTATTGCTTCAGGTGAATGGTGTTCTTTGTTGTCTAAATTAATTTTCTCTTGAAGTTAACTTAGTTACCAATTGCTCTTGAAGTTAACTTAGTTAGCAATTGCTCCCGTTAAAATTTCTTGCCACAAAGTTGAATTATAATTCCAAATTATAAATAATGAATATTCTTCATGTGGTACTCAGGGAAAGATGAGGATGGCTTTTACAATATTCAGTGGTATGATGCAATCGAACCAGAGACTGTCACTGGAACCGCACATGCTGCCGAGAAGGATGTTGAGACCAGTGGCCACTTCAGCAGCGGTTATAGTGAGGACGGTTCTGGTTCTGGGGCAACATCATTGCCTGCTTCTTTAGATTCCTTGGAATTTGATTTTCCACGGAAAGCAAGTGTTCCTTTGGATGATGCCTATTCAGTTCTTGATAGCTTCCCAAGAAGACAAGTTCCTATTGGACCAAATCATCAAGCCACCATTCCAGTCTGGAAGGGAAGAGGGGGTGAGATATCAGTGTTGACAGGCTCCAATGATGTTCATGGCACTGAAGAGAGTTTGATGGGGACTTGTGTGATCTCAATGCCCAAGTCGAGCTTCTATTCTTGTAAGAACGGCAAGGAGGAAGAAGGCAGAACAGAATGTAACTGTCTGGATCAAGACTCCATCAGATGTGTTCGACAGCATGTTCAGGAAAAACGTGAAAACTTGATAAAGACTCTTGGAAATGAAACATTTATGAACTTGGGGTTTGATCGCATGGGAGAGGAGGTTGCACATAAATGGAGTGAAGAAGAAGAAGATTTATTTCATGAAATTGTCTACTCAAATCCTGCAACACTGGGTAGAAACTTTTGGAGGCGGCTGTCAGCTGCATTCCCTTCTCGAACAAAAAAGGAAATTGTCAGCTATTATTACAATGTCTTCATGCTTCGGAGAAGGGCTGCTCAGAACAGATCCAGATTTCTCAATATTGACAGTGATGATGATGAATGTCCCACAGGCAATAATGTGAGCTTCTTTGGGTTTCAAGTTTCAGAAGATGATGACTCTGCCATTGAGTCTCCTGATGATCAAGATGTCCATGTGGGAAACCAAGATAATTATTCTGATGATGATGGTGAAGATGACAACAGCGACAATGGAACTGGTGGCGATGTCATTGGTATTGGTGGGTATGACAAGGGAAACAGCACTGACTCCAGCTCTCAGATTGAGAGCTGGTCTGAACCTGTTCAACAAGTCAATGAGACTCTGGGGATTTCAATTGGTTCGGGTGTGCAAGATGATTCTTGCATGTCCTTTGAGTGTCAGATCAATATGGATGAGCCCTGCCCCCCATGTGGTCACGATTATGCTAGTCCTGCTCTGCAAGCTGGTGGATTTAAATGTGATCAGAGCCCATTCATTCCGGGCATACTTGATTTCTCCAGTGATACTCTGGAGCATGTTTATTTTTCAGAGCCTAGTGATGCTAAGGATTGGTATCCGGGGTACTCCACAGGTCCAGCCTCTGATATTGACTTCTCGGCCACATCCAAATTAATTGAAGAGTTTCTGGGTCAGGTTACTCCAGATCGGAAGACCAAAAATGACTGACTTGTTAGCCTCAGTGGTTCTTATGGCACTACAGGCTTTAGTTGCTTGAGGTTGCCAATTAAGATTTTGGGTTAATGGTCTGTTTCTTGCACAAGCAGAAATTCCTTGGTGGTTGGGCTGGTGGCTCAGTTGTGAGACGTATTTGGCTGGAAAGCTTTTTATTTCTCTCCTTCCCTGGAGAAAATTTCTCTCTTGTGTCAGTTGAGGCGCCAAATCTCTCTCTGGTGCCTCAATTTTAGAGCATCACCGGAGAAGAATACAGAATCTCACGGGCAATGTTCTGAAATAATTTTCTCAGTTATTTTTTTTCTTGTTAGTGGGGGTGAGAAGGGAATGAAAATACATTTGGTTATAACTGTATATATCCGACTGGTCACACCATTCCCAAAAATCTCGGTTTTCACCCCCCCAGGGTTATTTATTTTTTATTTACGTTACTCCAAATTTGTAATTTTTGGGGCAAGCCCCGAATTTGTATGATAATGGAAAGCTTTAGAATCGAGATCGGTTGTTCTCCCATGTGGACTCTAGGGACGGTTGGTTCAGACACTTCTACTGGATCACACTAAGCTGGAGCTCGAACCTTAATGTTGTTGAATCAGATTATCATGTGAATAGTGAAATCAAACTGATTATTTTATTGTATAAGATTGGAATAATCAATTTCCCCAAAGGTAAACTAAATTTTATGATAGTGGGTGAAGAAAATTAACAAAGCAAGGCGGAAACATGGTTTCATCTACTAATATCCAATTAACACTATAGGCACGACCAACTTGTTCCTATATTTTATGTCTTCTGGTGAACTTGTTACTCTATTGTATGTGATGCAAGAGACAGCTGCTTCAGATACTCCTGATGGATCACATTATGAAAAGCTTGAGCCCTAAAGCTGAAATAATACTGGTTAAGGGGAGAAAAACGTGATACTGATGATAAACCACAGTACTAGCCAATTAACTATGTCAGCAATTTCAGTGAATTGAATTCAAGGAAGCAATTACAACTAATAAATTTTCTCACTTTTATCCATCATTGCAGAAGCAGCCATAACATTTTGCCGTGCAAGTGAACTTCATTATATATTCTTTGTCATGATTTGTCCATGCGCTGTTTTACCTCCTTTTTTGCATCAGAATATGTTCAGGAGACACATTCACAATGCTCTGTGACTGATATTGAAATCATTGGATTTGGTAACCACGACATACTTCGTTGCAGAAACTCCAGCTTAATATGCGTGTTGTGCAGACAAGGGTTAAAAGCTGTCACTGATGCAGGTTCATGGATGCTCAATGTGGTCAGCTCTGTGAGATTAACATTGAACATCCATGACGCTATCAACGTGCTGAGCATTCTTCGCTAATGTGTCTGTGAAACGAACAGCTTCTCTGTCAACTGGCTTATACAAGCTACAGGATCAGGTCTTCATACTGGTGATCACCGCAATGTATTGCATGATCAAGCTAATGGCCTCAGCCGAATCAGTGCACAATTCAACTCTGTCCATTCCCTTCCTCCAACAAGCTCAAAGCCTTTCCAGGACGCCCCATAGTTCCCCAGCAGTCGAGAAATATATTTACAGTCTTTTCTCAGAACAGTGGAACCAAGTGCCCATCTGATCTTAATAACACCTCTATGCTACTACTGCATTTATCTGCACAGAATCATCAATGTCTCATATAAACCAGTCCTTTTCAGGGGGTTTAGAAGGTTTCAGTACAAACTCTAATGAAAAGAGCTTGTCTGAAGCCTTGGTAAGACTCATCTGTTCTAATGTGCCTGTATAATCACATGAAGACTCATCAGTTCAAATTTTCTGTTTGAGTGAAGTTTCACCTTTTAAGATAGCACCTGAGAATAAAAAAACTGCATCTAGAGGTCATGTTTTCCCAACAAGGGGTAAGCGGATAGAATCTTCGATGCAGTATTTCTCACCCTGTCATTGCCTGCTTCAGAATTCAAATTCCACATGATCAAGGCAGCAATAGGAGAACAGAAAACTAACCAAGAGTCAGGTTTTAGAATGTTTTTCCTAATTATCATTTACCCTAGGGCAGTCACATAGAACATGTAACATTTCTTCCTTACATCCGCAATCAGTGGGCATCTGTCATCATTGTAATACATCTTGCTGCTCTCAACACATTAGTTGGGATTCTTCCATGCATCACCTGGTCACCAACCAGAAAAGGCAGCAAACTTTTCCAGGAGTCTTCCATTTGATTTTTCTCAACAGGCCTTGTTGATTAGACTCATGTTGGCAATTTTGGAATTTAAAGGCAGATCTGACAGTAAGCCTGCCATCATTGGAGGCTCTCCAGTAATCATATCATCTTGCCCATTCGGTCCCAGAAGTCTAGTGGAAATAACTACAAAAACAATATTTCTCCTAATTAATTGTATGTTCCAAGAACCAGACGGATTTGTCCACTCTTTCACCATAGAGAAGCCAATTGAGCATCCCAACTGGTACCATAGCTTATCAACAGATTTGGCAAGGGGGCCCATAAGTGTCCAGAACTTACTCTGCTAGCCGTTCCTGACTTTCTAACCTATCCCTTCCAAGAATATCTCCCATACTTCAACGACACTGCTCCAAGTAAGAGAGGCTGATTGCTTATTGTTTATAGTAGGAACAAAAACATAACCGGTTATGTACTTATTCTGAGAATCTTCACCCAAAAACCTCGCATAGTTGTGAAAATACCCCAACATAGCTTCATAATAAAGGCTTAGTTAGGAGCTTTTATGGTCTTTCAAACCCCTGCTCCCCTGCTCCTTGTCATTTTTTGTCACCATATTTCAAGAGAAAAGATGCGGTTTCTTGCTGAACTTTACATGAGATAAGCATAGTTCGCATATAATAACTAGACAAAATAAAAATAACAGATTTTATTAAAGCAGTACTCCCAACGGGAGTCAAGAATTTGCGTGCCAAGAGGAAAGTCTCCTCTGCAACTTGTCTGGAATTGAAGCATAGACAGCACAGGTTGCTCTGTTATGAAGGAAGCATACCTAAGTATTTACCTAGATCCCCTGTGAATTTGATAATGAGGATCTGGCTCAGCTCCAAAGCTCTATTATAGTTAACATTCGTAGACACATACAGACCAGTTTTTTCTTCATTCATCATCTGACCCGAAGCTAGGTAGATTTCTCTTATAAAATCTTTGATCAACTCCATCTGTTTCAGTTTCCTTACACACACCCCGAGTTCATATTAATCTTTGCTTTTATGTTGCTTACGATGGGAAATCAACACATCATATGGATGCAACTTCAAGCTAAACAAAACCAAAATAATATATCAAGTATGTCTCCAATTCCCAGACAGGAGACAGTTAACTTGAATGATAAAATATAACTCCGCAACCAGATTGCATGAATGACTATCCAGACAACCAAAATACTTCCCTCCGTCTTGTCCAGCGAGAAAATTAGAAGATTGACATTCTTTGATACGGCAGTTTCAGCAAATCAAATATTGCCATTTCATAGATGTTGACTTTTCTTCAAAAATCATTGTCTACACAAATTTGGCGGTTAGCTGGTTTTCATGCAGAGCTCTTCAATCCATCAGCTTAATAAATTACCTTTTTTTGTGAATAAGAAGTTACACTTGATTACATATTAGTGACCCCGTCTGATTTTAGAACTAGTTTGGCTCACGTATTATTTTTCATGAGAATAACAATAAAAAGGCTTAGCCATAGATCCAGTCAGTAAGAAATCAACCAAAAAGTGAAACTGCACATTCAAAGCCTAAAATATCCAAGAGGTATGTACATACGAAATAATTCCTCTTTGTCACTACAGTGTCATGTTTCTTCACCTATCCTTCAAATCAAAATACTTCCTGAAGAACTGAGATATATGAAGTATACACATGCAAGAATAATTCCTCATTCTATGCCTACCGTGTCAAATTTCTCCATTTATCCTTCAAATCAACCTGAAAAAATAAAATAAAATATTATTATTATATCAAAAACTCAAAGCTTGCAAACAAATAACATGGCAAAGCAATTTAACACTCAAGTTGCCATTGTTGCTACAGAAACTTGCACAGGTTCAAAATTGTAGGCATGTAAAACTGGCAAACAAACATGCAAACTCTAATCGATATGGTTTTAACTCATGAAATCACAGTGAAATTCTGACTTCATCTGCATGTTCAAGTGTGTGTGTGTGTTCTGATTTCAGCCACATATACTCAAGATAATGAGTCCGACAACATTGTTAGTAGCTTACTTCTGTTCTTCCTGTCTTTGAAAATATCTCGCCGTAAAATCTTAGAATTGGCTTCCAGTTTCCTTTGCCAAACCTGCATAAGAAAATAAAGAGAATGAGAATGTAAAACCATGATGTCTGAAACTTTAAAAAATTAATTCGTATTCTCCATCCAAGCAGAGAAAATCTTAGAAGCCGAACACACTTTCAGTGTTCAAATGGTGTTGTGACACTGTTGACTTCTAAGTTTTAACAACACAATGTCTCGTAACTTCTTGATCAAAGACAATAACCCCTATTTCATGTTAGGAATACCATCAAAATGAAAATGTTTCCAAGTGTAGTTAAACACACAACAGAATTAAATCCCAACATATTTGACCACCAAAAAGTGGTTTTACAAGTTTAAAACAAAAACTTACTTCTTTACACCAGCCCTTAATGCATCCTCTTCTTCAGAACTCCATCTCATCTTTCTCCTCCTTTTCTTAGGGCTTCCCCCAGGCAAATCATTAAATGGATCATCCCACTGAAAAGAGAAATAATATATAATATGCTTTAGGAAAATTCAAATAGACATTATAAACAAATTTTTCTTTTCCCCTGAATGACGGCAAAGGGCATATCTTAAATAAGATGCCACCCTTTAGATTAACAACTAGCCCATCGTGATTCTCGTAACCTTACAAAGAACCTGCCACCAAATAAAATAGAAATTGAATAAGACAGTTACCTCATAAGTATGGGCAGTACTATTTCGTTCCATCAAGCTGGGACGTTGAGCATTACTGCAATTAACAGAAGTCTGTTTCCTTAAAATATCATTGATAGGTTGATAAAGCACTATGCTCCTGCAAGTATTTTGTTCTGGTATATTTACAATTGTACTCTGGTTTTCAAAAGGAGGCTCATGATTCACACCCTTTGTTGCTAATTCAGATCTTACAATGTTAGATTTGTGTAATGCATCCGGAAGAGGATCCTTCACCAATACTCGCAACTCCAAAGAACTTGACATGAGAGATTTCCGAAGTTTTTCAACTTGAATATTAGATGCATCATGATTTTTGCTACACACTGTCGCTGGCCCTACTTCCTCAGTATCAATAATTTTAACTCCTCTACGTGTAGAGGGCGCAGCATAATTATGTTTTAGTGGCAGCTTGTCCTTTTGAATTGCTACATGAGATACAGAAAAATAATGTGATCAAGAAAATGTCATTCATTTAACAAAAAAAAAGCAGGCATATCAATAATGCTGTATTGCTAAATTTATTGTGTGATATAATAATATAGAAGAAAGAGAAACTAAAAATTTGCCTATTCATGGTCAATCAAGCAAGCAATCACAACAGAGCAACTTTTCCTCCTCAGAGAATGATTCAAACAAAGTATAATTTATAGCATACAAATAAAAATGATTATACTTTACACTAGTAGCATCCAATTTAGAAATCAATGTAAGGGGGGAAAAAAAAAGAAACAATGAATAAAAACAAAATGAACCCTCAAATTATGCAAGACAATAAGCAAAGCCAGTTTACGGAACATAATTAAGCAATTCTGCTTGCACCAAAGGACATACTAAATACTTTTTGCCAATACCCTTATCTAAAAACACAACTTTTAGCAGGCTGATGTCATAATTTTCAAAAAATTGTAGTTCAGAAGGTTTGAAACGTTACAAATTGAGAGCAAAAACAGTGATGAATAGTGAAGAAGCGGGGCAGAATAACATACTTCCATTTGTCCTCTGAGGCAAGTCAGTCCCACCCAAGGCCTGAATTCTGCCAACAGAAGACCCGACTCTCTCTACCAGTTGCTCGCCATCTTGATTCCCACCTGCCACTTGCGCCTTCCCCATGCAGATTGCAGCATTATGCAATGCACTTCCATCAGACACAACTAAAGCCTCCTCAGTTATGTTAGTTGGACAATATAACGTTCCTTTACACCTATTCATCTGATCAAAGACCAAGACAGATTCAGAATCACCCTTGTCACAACCTTCATTGGGTATACTAGCAGCAAGCTCCGCGTCACCCATCTTATCCACCCTCGAACTTCCCAAGCCCTTCTCTTCAGAAAATATAGCTACTTCAAGGAAAGAAGGGCCCATGGATGCCCAAGTTTCTTTTAGATAAACCCTAACCTTGTCAAGTGCATTTTTTCTGGTATTCATGTTCATTAACCTCCCGCACACCTCTGCATCCCAACGTGCGGACTCTAAGATGTCCTTCCACCCTATTAACTCAGCCGTAAATAAGTGACACCTCTTCCCTGACGCCATAGCCTCCACCATTTGCCGAACTCGGCCCCTCCAAATCCTATTGATAGCATCATCAAACAAGCCGCGGGTGTTCTTATCCGGGCATGCCTCAAGGTACCTGACACTGCAGTCCACAGCAACAGCACAATATGCCTCCTTCATCGCTTCTGTGATTGCAACGCCATTACGCCGGTCGATTTCTTCAACAACCTCTAGATATTCCAGTAAGTTTTCTGTAAATGATGCCATAGCCGCCTCCGATTGAATAGACCTGAGAGCCAATGTTTTCCACAGCCGCGAATCGATACCAGAGAGAGGCAAAACATTCAAAACATTCTTGATGATCAAATCTGGAACGGAACTCCTGAGGAGATACTCAAGAATCCAGCGCCATATATCGTTGTCCATTACACTGGGAAAGTTATGATCGCTGGGGAAGCTGGAAAGAAGGCCAGGGTTCAATGTTTCAGAGCAATTTCTGGGGAATTCGCTTTGCAGAAAGTTCTTCGCAGAGTGAATTAAAATGTGTTCTAGAATCCACCGGCTCTCTTTGTACCGAATCTGAATCTCTACTACCACAAATGGCTCTCTGCATCCAGAGCAAAGACAAACAAACTCCAATAAAATAACGTAAACATTAAAGCCAAAATATCAAATGCAGCCATGTAGAAAAACAACATAATACAAACTCCAATAAGTGGGATTCTTAGATCTAGCAATAAAAGGCAACACCCAAAAGCGAAGATGGAGGGGTCAAGTCTATTTTAGATAGGGGAGAATAGAAGGAAAAAAGAACCTCGATTTCAAAACAAGAATAACATAAAAAGTAAAACTATAAAACGGAAATTGTGGAACAAGAAATATGAATTTGCATAAGAGAAAGAATGCTCAATTCAAGGATCAACGAATTCGCTTGCAGAGACGTACAGGAAATTCGAGCCATGAAGACGTTCACTTACTAGGAACACGTTTAAGTAGCGAAAGTGTTCTTCCAAACCCAAAGCATTTAATTTGATTAATGTAGGGAAGTTAACTGATTACCCAACCAAATGAAGGACGCATAAGGGATTAGAAGAAAACTGTACCCAGATCCCCCAAACACTAGAACGTTAGGAGTTTCGCACTCATCTATCGATTCGAACAATTTTTGAGAGAGATTTGTTCGCAAAAACAAGCAGCAAATTAAATCTACTTATGTGTTAAGTTGCTGAGTTCTTCACCCCAAATCACTGAACACTTCTCTGTTGCCTCCCTGCTTCCGTCTTGGAGGGCAAGCGGTGGTTATCTGGGATAGAGGTCCGGACACAAGCATTATGTTTTAATTTTTAATTTTTAAAAATGACATTGCCACGTCACTCACTTTAAATGATGTGGCTGCCATGCCTCTTATCCTTCATGTCAGCAAGCACTTTTTTATTTGCCATCCATGTCAGCATGTCCTCACTTTGCCATTTCTGTTTGTATAAAAGATATTGAGAAATGACGCTTAGGACCAATGAAAAAAATTAAATCCATACAAGGATTCTAAATACTAGGATAAGATGGAAAAAAAAGAAAAGAAAAAGAAAATATCCCTGGTGGAAAAATTAATTGTGCAAAGATGCACAAGAACCTTAGATCCATATGATAAATAAAAAAAATCATAACAAATTGAAAGCAATTAAACATGAATTTATATTATGTGGACCATTTATATTATATTTATTTTTCATGTTTTAAACATTTATTTTTATTTTTATTAAAAATGCAAGAAGAGTATTAAAAAAATAAAATTATTATTAAAAAATTAAAGTTGTAGATAACCATTAAAAATAGGGGAAAAAAGACAAAAAAACCTGTTCAATTTGAAAATAATAAATAAGCTATTATTCTTATAATGATTTTTACATGTCAAAATTTGTCAAAATCATCAATTTGTCATTTTGAAATTCAACATGTATTTTTATCATTTTTTCTTAAAAATATCAAATATGCGCATTTGAAAAATTAACTTGAAAACCCATAAACCATAATTGTTTTTTGGAGTTTCAAAATTTTAAGATCCTAAGAATCCTAAAATGTCATTTTTCTAATTAATTAACGTCAAAGTTAACTCCGTTTAACTTTGGTAAAAAATAACTCCATTTAAAACTTGTAGATATCCCAGTTTTAAAGGCAATATTATGTCAGTTGACATTTATAATCCTCATAAAAAAAGAATTTTAAGAAAATACCTTTTTTAACCTTTTACTTTTTAGAGTGCCAAATCTTCTGCTTCCCCTCGACCGGGATTCTCACAACAAAAAACCTCATCTTAGCCCTCCATCCTTTTAACTTATGCTTATCCACACGCTCCACGTGCCTCCTATTATCATTCTCTCCACTCCGTTCTCTTTCTTTTCCTTTTATCAAATCGTTTCATGCATGGAATTCTCCTCATTCCAACACAAACCGGCAATGAAAAAACAGTCTTGCCTAGCCAGCTGCTTTCTCCGATTCTTCTTCTTCTTCTGCTCCTAAACCCCACCACCCCTGTTACCAACCCAATTTCTTCAAATTTTGATTTTTCTTGTCTCTTGCAGTTTGGGGATTAAGACCAATTTTTCAGCATTTTTTGTTTGGGGGCTTTTTTTGGAGTACATGGGGAAACGGAAATCAAGGGGTCTCTCCCTTTATGTGGGTCGGATCTTGTACTTATAGAACTGTCACATATCTGATCGTCTCTGGTAAACAAGCAAGAAACTTCGTGATCTGTTTCTGTATCTTTAAACTTGATCTACTGTCCCTTTGCCTACTTAGCTGCTCCGTCCTTTTCCTTCACAACACTAGGGACATGATCATCGCGTAACACGTTGAAAATTCAAGGTAACTGTTAGACTTTTAGTTTTCTGGGTATATGTACTTTGGATGAGATATTTCAGATCAAGCTTTCATGGAGGAGAGGAAGTTCGTGTGCAAGTATTGCAACAAGAAGTACCCATGTGGAAAGTCTCTGGGTGGACACATCAAGATTCATATGACTACTGAACATTATTCATCGCCTCAATCCAAGGAAGGTAAAACCAATGCCGATGATAGTGTCGTCGAGTTCGATGGTGGAAGGAAGAGGAAGAGAGATTCTGGGTCTGAAGAAGCTGCCTCCGGAAACCCCATTTATGGTCTTCGAGAGAATCCCAAGAAAACAACGAGGTTCGTACATTCCAGCTCTGTTGCACAACAAGAGAGATTCTGCAATGAATGTGGGAAAGGCTTTCTGTCTCTGAAAGCTCTCTGCGGCCACATGGCTTGTCATTCAGAGAAAGATAAGGGGATGACGAACAAGTTTGAGAACAATTCTGGGTTTAGCATGAAGCAGAAATTGGCAATTGATAGCCAATCGGACAATGAGACATCTGCTCCGAATCATCCTAGGAGATCCAGAAGAATGAGGTTCAAGAACCCGAATACTGACAAAAACGATCACCGTTCTTTTGTTTCTTTGGCGAATGGTTCTTCCTCTGTGTCTGAGGTGGAGCAGGAACAAGAAGAGGTCGCTAGGTGTTTGATGTTATTGTCCAGAGACTCTAGCCATAAGGGTCGTTTTCTTTTGCCCACTGAGTCTTCGGACAACAATTCTGTTGTGGTAGAGGCAAAATCACCGTCTGTGGACACTATCATTACTTTCAACAATGGTAAAAAGAGCTCTGTGTCTAATGGTTTTGAGATCGTGAAGGAGAAGAAGAAAGTGGAGCAGTATAATAGCATGCAGTTGAAGTCTGCTGAGATTGTCGATTCTGATAATTCAGATTCTGGGTATTTTAGGAATGGTCACAAAAAGTTGGATTCTTCAATGTATGGGTATCCTAGGAATGGGGACTTAAAGACATCAAAAGTGGAAGCCAGGTCTAGTTGTGAGTTTGATCAGAACTATGACGCTGAATTGAGGCAGAAGATGCTAATCAACAACAGAGGAAGAACCAGATGCACTGAACCCAGAAAGCTAACTTTGGAGGATTTGGACTACAATACAAAAGATGGAGCGGCAAGGGAAGAGCTCATCAATTGGAGAAGGAGACCAAGATATGGTTCTCTTCGCCAACAAAATTCAGTTGGTGTTTCTTGCAAAAGGACACCAAATGGTTTTCACAATGAGGAGTCACTGGAGACAGAGAGCTTAAACAGGGAAAAAATGACCAAGGACTGTCAAGATTCATCTGGCGAGAGTGATGAAAGCAGCACAGACACTGATGCTTATACTGCTCCGAGACCTCATAACAGCAAGGTTATCAATGGAAAGAAGGCCAGCAAGTCCAGGAAGAAATTGAAGTTGAAGAAAAGTAGGGACCATGAATGCCCAATCTGCTACAAAAATTTTAAGTCAGGCCAAGCATTAGGAGGTCACAAAAGGTCTCATTTTGTGGGAGGCTCTGAAGATAACACACTGGTGATCGGACAAGGCCTTCCTGTGGTTCCATGCCTGATTGATCTCAACCTACCTGCTCCTGTTGATGATTAGGTGAAATTAGCATCTGGGTTCTACGTCTTTCTTTTTAGAGCATCTTCTAGTTTGGTAGCTGGAAATGTCTGGAAATCTGAGAATGTTTTTGTCATTATCCCATATGATGGAAGCATTGGAAATGTACAGACAAATGGGTAAATCCTTTTTCTTTTTGGTTTGAAATCTCGAGGCCTTGTCCATTATTTGGTAAGTGGTAGCTGTTTCTTTGATGTTAATGGGACATGATAAGTTGTTAGTTGGAATTTTTGTTTCTTGTCAAGGGATTCAATTCCTTTTCTGCAAATTCTTAATTCCACCGCTCTTCTCAATTAATTTAAGGATGTTTGTCCTTTCACGTTTTCCAGTTCTTCTATGCCTTTTGTCACTTGTTAAACGTTGGGCCTGAGCTTTGTGATTTCATTTGCTCTGAGATATCTTGGTGATTCAGATCCTTTGGAAGGCATGATGATTATGATAACAAAAAGATTCTAGTTCCTCCACCCAAGACTTTGCTTCAATTTTTGACTTTAAACCCCAGAAAAGAATTGTCCCTTGTGCTCAGGTAACCTGACCTAACCTTGTCGACTCCGTGTTTTTCACTAAAGAAATAATGGGACCACCTTCTTTAAAGAATTCTGTGAATGAGTTGGAGAGATATTTCAAAGCTTGAACTCAATGGTCTCTCTTTAATTGACCCCAATATTTGATAATTGAAAAGAAGTTGCATTTCACTCACAATCATAACTAGCGATAAGGCATTGATCTGACTGTCCTTGCACCAGAAGTTACTATGTTTTGCTGGCATAATCTTTTGGGCTTGAAAAGGGGGAAGTGGTTGGAATATTCTTGAAGATGAAGACATATTAGGAGGAAAGATAATCAGTATTTGTGGAACAAGGAGGAAGTAATTTTTTTTTTTGGCTAAATAAAATAAAATCAATCATTCTGGGATAAAAATCTGAGGGTTGAGGTGGTTGTAAGGTCGCCTACCACTTAAGGTAGCGAAGCACATAATTGCTCCATATGTATCTGTCAAAAGTTCAAAACACATAGTCCAAGTCCCACTTCCACAGGCATAAAAATGTTGATGCCTTTTTCCCTTTTTTTCATCTTTCATGCCATTTCCTTCATATTCTTCGGTGGCCCACTCAGATCTCTTCCCATTTAGCGTTCAAGAGAGAGGACCACCTCTCTATATATGGTTACTGCTCTTGCTTCTGAATCATGCAGGTTCAGATGAACTTGTATCAAGCAGACTAGGGAACAGAATCAAGAGACACTCAAGGAGAATCAAACCGTATAAACTCATACGGGCACTAAATAATTGCACGCATTGAGCTCTTTATTAAGAAAAGCCAGAATATGTGTGTGACTTTAATTAATTTATATAAACTTCATGATGAAACAATGGAAGAAATCTCTGATATATATTATTCTTGCTTGTGATGAGTTTTGCATTATTTGGTTCATGCACAGTGTTGAGACTATTGAGATGTGTAGACTAAGTTGGTGATGAGTGGATGGTTGGGTGGGATGCTTTGCTTTGTGGAGGGACAAGTGGGGATTATTTGGGAGGAATGGTTAAGAAGAGGGCAACTTTTATGAGACTTTGTTGGTGAGACAAGAGAATAAAAAGAGCATTGTGATTTGAGAGTGATTGTTGAATTTTGCTGTGGCCGGCTATATCCAGACGGAAATCACACAGTGACTTTGACTAATGATAAGGGGCCTCTTAGTTTGTGGGATTTATTTTGTTTTGGCGTGTTGAGACACCGATATTATTATAATGGTGACTTTGTTAGGATAGAAACCAGTTTCATACCATGATACTTATCAAATCCCAACCGTTTAAATTTAATATAGACAGTCAAGATTTAAATAAATTTTATTTTTGAAAAGTATTTTCCTTTAATAAATATATAATTCAAAATAAATGTAAGTTTTTTTAAAAAATAATTTTTTATTTAAAAATCATCATTTGAAAATTGTAAATCTAAACTATGAAAACTGTATTTAAATGGTGTAGATTACATTACAGTAATGAGTATTAAAATACTCATTATTGTGATAAACATCGAAACTGGATCTGGTTAAGATATTCTAGTGTGTTAATTTCTTAAATCAACATTTTGCATAGTTTTTTTGCAGAGAGATCCTTCGTGGGAAATAAGGATTAATTTTCTTTCTTTTTTGTTATTTAATGAGCCACCAAGGGTATTCTTTATTAACTGTGGGGATGAATTTCTCTCAGAAACTAATGAATGTCTTTTAGAAACTATCTCTGGTCCTTAATATAAGACTTTATTTAAATTTTATTTTAGTCCTAAATATAAGACCCACATCCATTTTGTTTCTCATATTTATGTATTTTTTAAGATAGTCTTCTAACAAAAGTAGGTATAACCAATACACTTGATCATCAATGATATTTTAGAAAAGACAATATATATTTATTACAAATAACTAACTTAACTTCTTTCCTTAATCTTCTCAAATTAGTCAACTAGCTCTTATAATTAGGACTGAAAGTAGTATTAAGAAAACTAGTTAACATTTTTATTGAAAAAATGTGTTTAATTTTCTAAAAAATCCTTTGTAATAATTTGCATCGGAACTATCCATTAATAAAGATTTTCATACGTGCAATCAATGAGAACAGTTTAGGAAAAATGATAATTTTAGAAGATAAACTTGAACCAACTTTTATGTTTAGGACTGAAACAACCATGTATAACTAAAAGAATTAAAAATTGAATTTCCGACCATATACTTAAAAGACAAAACTCTTAATTGGTTACTTGGTTCTATACTTTTGTTAAAGTTGGCTTTGACGTGGGACTTTTCCAGCATGCTTGCATTTTGTGGAAATATTAGTGTCTTTGATATTTTGAACATACAGCTCAGCCCCTTCGCGTGTATGACGCACCTTTGACCTGGTAAAAAGGCAAAAACGCTAATCATGGATAAACTTGAAGTGAGGGGCTTTTATGGAATTTACCTTTGGGTTCACAAATGGAAATAAAAATAAGTTTCAAGAAAATAAAATTTATAACAATACTTATATCAAATTTCTTATATTCATTATAGTCATGTGTCCTGTTTTTAAAATATTACCATTAAACTATAAAATGACATTTTAAATGTAAAACACATGATCATATGATTAGAAAACTTGATACAATATATATAAATATCTTGATATAAGTATTGCCCTAACATCTATTATAATTATTTTTTCCTACAATAATTTGTACGATCAAGTTGCGCAATCTCAGCCATTCAATTTTTAATTTAAAAGTGGAGATGGGATAAAGGAAGAAAAAGGAGAAAATGAATGAGGAGAGGATCTAGATATGTGATCATGTGTAACACTTAAATTTCAGAAGCTCTTTAAACAGAAAAGAATATCATTGAATTTTTTAATATACTTCTCAATTGTTAACCCATGACCTAATTAAAGAGTTAATTTTAATCTCAGTCTTAAATATAAAACCTATTTTATATATTTATTAATTTTTTTTAAAATTCTCTCTATTGTACAATGATATCCAACAAGAAGAGAGTAAGGAAGTTAAGAAAGATGATTAGAAAATTTTAGAAAAAACATGTCATACTTATTATAATTAACAGACTTTCTTAATTTTTTAATATAATCAAATTAGTTAAATATATCTTATAACAAGAAATAGATGAGTGTGCGTATACCTGTGCGGGCGCTTATCCTGCATTTCAGAGAGCAAAAAAGATTTAATAGAAAAGAAAAAAAGAAAGTGACGAAGAAATCAACACAAAATAAATTATAACTCCATTATTTAATTAGTAGGGAAAGATTCTACGTTGCGTACTCATATAACACTTGATGATTGGTATTAAGTTGCTACTTATATTTTATTATAATTAATTAGTGAAATTTAAGTGGTATTTTGGGGACGAATTCAGGAATTTTCGTTTCAGATTTTTAGCGTGCGTACGTATTTTCCAATTGCAGAGGGCCCTTTTTGTCATATTTTTCTTTTTATGGTTTGTAGCTGTGCCTAATCATCCCTTTTTTGGGTTGATATGACTATGAAACTTCATCATGAAATAATTCGTCCGATTCAATTTTGTTATCAGTTTAAAGGTATAAAGATTGAAGACGCAATTGAAGTTTCACATTATTTGCATAAAAGTTTACAAGATTTGAGGGACCATTTTGCTTGCAAATATTTACTGTGCTTCATCCGGATCCGCATTCCGTGGTTATCAAGATGATCAGCGTGGAGTGCTTAGCACTCAAAACGTCAGCATGAGGGACAAAAAATACATGTATTAGAATTATTTTTAGTTAAAGTTTATTTAATACTCTAAAATATTTTTTGGATACATTTAATATTTTAAAATATTTTATCATATCCTGAAATATTTTCTCATATGTATTTAGTGTTCTAAAATATTTTCTGACAATGCATTTCAAAAAATATTTAGGAATATAGTATTTTAAAGTATTTTGTGGTCCATTTAGTATCCTAAAATATTTTTTTATATGTGCTTATTATTCTAAAATACTTTGTGACTGGGCTTGCCTAAAAACATATTTTATGATCTAGTATTCTAAAGTTTTTTATGATTTATATAGTATCCTGAAATATTTTTCAGCATTTTAAAATACTTTGTGATACAATATCAGGAAATAGAAAATTTTTAAAACATTAAATGCACTTAAAAAAATATTTTAAGGTACTAAATGAATCATAAAATACTTTAAGATATTGAAAACATCTAAAAAATATTTGAGTACCAGATAAATGTTAACCAACAATAATTTTAATACATACTTCCTTTAATTCTTAATATAAGAGTTAGTTTAACTAATTCAAGTATATTAAAAAAATTATTTAAATTAATCATTTGTAATAAATAAATATTATTTTCTCTAAAATACCTTTTACTAATTACGTGTATTAACTAGAACTACAAATTGATTAAATCTTTAACATGTGTAATTATTATAAGGACTATATTAAAAAATAAATATATATATAAGAGATAAAATAGATTAGAATCTTATATTTAAGACTAAATTAAATATCAAACTAATTTTTATATTAATAATTTGAGGTAGTATAAATTTTTTTTGTAACAAAAAAAATAAAGTAAAAAAATTAAAACGCTCAACACTCAAAAACACACTACTAGCACGGAATGCGAACGCGGCTTCATCCTATTCTAACTTTTTCCCCCTTTAATCGCAGTCTTTTCATTAGAGATAATTATATTCGGAACACTTTCAGACACTAAATATAGATATTGTTTGTAGTAAGGATTTAAACCTTAATTCAGTATATTATAAAAAACCAACTCTTTCTGTTAGAACTAACCACTACAAAACGTAAAAAAAAAAGCTTGTTATGGAAGAGATAAACCTTTCTTTTGGGCTGCGAATGATAAATATGTTCACGGGTTAAGCTTTGGTTAATAAGTCTGTGTTTGAATTAGAAAAACCATTCATATTTTCAATGATGTTCTAGTCTGGTGACATATCAACTCTGTGAATAGGAGATCACCGGTTCAATCTTGCTACTATTAATGTATGTTCATTTAATTTAAAAAATGAATAAAATTAAATATAAGTCTGTATATAAAAAGGGATTTCAATTGCTTAATTTTATTGGAGATAGCATATGCTCCAAAAGAAAAAAGTCATAAATCTAATTAAGCATTTTTAACAAATACTCATTAAATTTAATCATTTTCACTTTATTCATAACAGGACAATCAAGCATCAGCACACAATTGGCCTTGCGGTTCTCACAAATGATATTTATTGTAGTTTTAAATGCAAAAGCCATAAATTTTTGTTGTTAGCCAAAGAATATCTCATCAAAAGCCAACCTACCAGTTTGGAATAGTTTATAAATAGCTTTTTAATTATGATTTATAGCATATAAGGTAAATATGTGAGAAAAATTTTATCTTAGCTTACGTAAAATGTTTTCATAAATACTTATTTAAGCCAACCCAAACAAACACTTAGGATTCATTTGGATTAGCGATTGGATAAGTAGCTTATTGTCAATTTGACTTTTGAAAAAGTGAAATTACGTAAAAGTTAAATTGAATAAATTGAATTGTATTTAGATTGAGTTTAGAAAAGTTGGTTTATAAAAGTGAGATTGGTAAAAGATTGTTTGGATTATAATAGAGTAAAACTAAGTTTAGTTGTAAAATGACCAAAATAGGTATGAGTTTTAATAAATAATGAAACATGATTAAAAAAATAATTTCACATAAAAAAATTAAAATAATTTAATATGAAGAAGTCAAATTTAATGAGTAAATTAAATTTTAAAATTTTAGAGAAATCATAAAAAATTTTGAACTAAATAATAATATATAATTAATTAAATTGTACACTTGTGTACAATTTATATAAATATAAAATAAAAATAATTTTAAAAATTAGAAATATTATTTTAAAAAAAACTATGTTAAATGAGTATGTATGTATATGCAAGGGAAGACGAACCTGTTGCAAAGAGGAAAAGAAAAGCATGTCACGACGAAAAGTAAAGGAAAAGAGAGAAGAGAATCTAGCATACAAGCCTGATCAGAAAAGCGAAAAGCTCCTCCATGTAGCTTATACAAACCGTGCGTTCTAATCTGCCTTTTGGTGAATAAGTGGGATGGCCCAAACGCTAATCCAAACACCCATACTTCTGTAAACAGACTTATCATCAGCTTAAACCTCCTTTTGGCCCACCACCCGCCCTGCCAAATAGTTAATCTTTTTATTTTCCACCAACTCACGTCTCACTGTTTCCAATGTAGGTTTCTCTCTCCAAACAATGATTCAAACATGCCCTAAATCATTGGCTTTTATAATATATAAGTGTCTCTTGAATGCTTAGCTCGTGTAATTTCACAAGCATGAAATTTGCTAATGTGACAAATTATAATTATCAATAAAATAAACATTGCGAAAAACACGAATACAAATAACCAAATCCATAACTCTAAAAGCCATATTCACCAAATCAAAATCACTATTTATAAGCCATCAACTCCGTATAAGAATTATACAATAATCTAATTGATCATTCCCTGCATTACCTCTTATTGTGCACACAACCTTATTTCATTTCCTTATAGCCTTTACACTATGCAACCAAGCAAAGAATCTAGCATTATTTATTGTATACACTAGAGAAAATATACATATATATATATATATATATATATATATATATAATAGCTAGTACCAAAAGATGCATTTTTGGTGTAGTTGAATGATCATTCACGAGAAACTTCAAGAACTTGTTTCCCAAAGTTTCTTCCAGTGAAGAGGCCAATAAGGGCAGCTGGGCCATTCTCAAGTCCTTGGGCAATGTCTTCAACATACACAACCTTCTTCTCTCTGATGTAAGGAAGCACAGTGTCTAAGAGCTTTGGATAGAGATGGTGGTGATCTCTGTGTGAGAATCCTTTCACAGTTAGCCTTCTGACAATAATCTGCATCACATTCTTTAGGTTTTCGGGCTCAGCAATGTTGTACTGTGAAATCATCCCACACAAAGTGACACAGCCATGCACTTTCATGTTCCCCAGCACTGCATCAAGCATTTTGCCACCAACTTGCTCATAACAGATGTCTATTCCTTCTGGGAAATACCTAATTATCAATGGAAAATCATGCATCATCAGTTGTTAATTTAAGCTTCAATTGAGCTTGAAAATAGAATATCAAAACGTGGGTTTGGCTCAAAAGTAGAGCAGAAAAGCAAGTTCATAGTTACTTGGGCTTAAACATGAGTTTAGGGGTAGATTTGTTTTTGCCTTCAACATGGGTTTAGGGAAACTGAACAAGCAAGTCATGCTTACTTTGACTCTAACATGGGTTTGGGTCCTGCAAACAGGAAAATCAATACTATATTCTACATCAGATAAAATTGTAACTCGCCTTTTCAAGGCAGCATCCAAGTCAGGCTCTTCCTTGTAATTGAAAGCATCATCAAACCCAAGCTTGTTCTTCAGCAGATCAACCTGCCAAAAACAAGAATAAATTAAATATGTGAATTTGAATTTACCCATTTAAATAGAAAATAGAACAATTGGAACATGTAATGTACCTTTTCTTGACTGCCGGCACTCCCAACTACATAACAACCCATCAACTTGCAATATTGTCCAATCAACTGACCAACTGCTCCTGATGCTGCTGTGACAAAGATTCTGTCTCCTATCTTTGGAGTACAAACTTCATAGACTGCAGAATAGGCAGTAATACCAGCCATACCTATTCCAGAAAAGTCACATAAATTCAATTCTCTTTACTTTACAATATAAATGAATCTTAAATTTTGTAAGTTCAAATAGTCGTTGAACACAGTAGGAGTACGAACACATTGACATGAATAAAAAGAAATGAAGTAAAAGAAACAATTTACCAAGAATTCCGGTGTAGAAGGAAAGAGGCACATCAGTATGCTGGATTCTGAAGAGTTTTTGTGGTTGTTGAATGAGACTATATTCTTCCCAACCAGTTGTTCCCCAAACCAGATCACCAACCCTGAAGTTTGGATCACCTGAATCCATAACTTTAGCCACTCCAAACCCATTTATAGGCTACAAGGAATTAGGAACGATCAGCAATTACAATGAAGACCGTTGATAGAGAAAAACAGTGAAAAAAGTGATGAAACTAATCAAAACCCAGTAATAAAGTCTCTATTTTTATCTATCCAATTTCTTTATCTTTATTATTTTCCTGGGAAACAAACTGTAAAAAATGGTTTGAAATGAGGAAACTTACTGAGCCAGGGGCATAATATTGATATCCATCAAGGTGTTTGTGTCGCACCGTCCTCAGTCGGAACTGCATGGTGGGATCAACAGAAAGGAACAGATTCTTGACCAGAACTGCATTAGATCCAGGAGGAATCTGGAGCTTGATGGTACTTGTAGTTATGTAAAAGTCAGATTCTTTAGGATGACCAGTGACATAGTCCCTAAGTATCACCTGCTTGTTCTTCACTTCCTCCTCAGAATTAACGTCCTTCTTCGCCATGCTTAATTATGTGTTTATCAGCTGATTGATGTTGTTCAAACTTTATGGCACTAAATTACATGGGTTTCCCTCTATTTATAGTTAAGCATAATGAGTTTGATGTAACTGCTTACGAAAGATGAGTTTTGGGGATTGAATGATGCAGAATGGCGTCTACGTTGAAGCCCATGATATGAAGCCGCCAATTAGACTGGTTTAGGAATTACGAAGTTAGTTTGTCTTGTAATTTGCGCCAATTAGACTAGGAATTACGAAGTTAGTTTGTCTTGTAATTTGACTAATTCATCTCTAGCAATTTCCATAACACTAAATCTAAACCTATCTATTTGACAGGAAAAAAAAAAAAAACTAAACTTCCAAAACATGGTACTAATGACTGAAAGTTTGACACTTTGATTTTATGACTATCAAATTCCAAAAGTGAAACCTTGCGTGTGTTTACAATTATAGAAAGGTCAAAGAATAAAACTGTTCATTATTATGTCAGTAATTACGTCTAAGAGCTTGTTTGTCAAAATTAAACAATCAAATTCCAATAGTAATAATCATATCGTAGTATGATTCTTAGGAATTAGATTTTTTATGATATGTATTAAGAATACCAAACAATCAAGAAGAGAACAAACAATTTCGGGAGTGGAAACATATACCGTACAATCAGAAAGCTCAGCTTGGAACTATACCTCATTTTGATTAACAATAATATTCTTTTACAGTGATTTTCCCCCCAAAATCTTTGACATCTGGACCTGACTAGCTAACTATGAATATATATATATTATATATATATATATCACCAAGGATTTCAAACTAATTTAGCTGGCTTAATTCCCCAAATGTTTCTTGCATACTCATGTATGGCCCGATCACTGCTGAACTTGTATGAACTAGCTGTGTTCAGGTTGACATTCTTGTCCATCTCTGCTCCAACATCAAACATAAAACATCTCAGGTGGGGAAAAAATGGGTACAAGATATCACAAATAAGTATCATGGCATGTTTAGTTAATTAGTTTAATAGTTACTTGCATAAATGCTCCTGTATTGAGCAATATCTAATCTGTTTTATAAATATGTTTCGGGCGAATATAGTTCATGCACTTCATGTACTTGCAATATTCATGGACGATGTCATCAACAGAGTTGTTCATGGCCCTGGCTAGCCTAAGGAGACCAGTTCAGATATCCTATTCCAAAGTAATTATATATACTAATGCTTTGACAGAGATAATGATAAAATAGATGATGACCACGTTCTTTTGTGCTGCTCTGTCTAGACGTATGAACGCATAAATGCAAGAGATCTAATTTACTAAGAATATACTAGATGGAGCTATTTTCTTAGCTCAACCGGGCCATGAACAGAATAATGTCCCCAAGTATCGCTGAACCTATATGAACTAGGGCCCAACCCAAGTTATCAATTAAACGAGGACAAAAATTTGTGGTGCTACTCTATATGCTATCTATGCTACATGCTTCGTTCAAGACTGCCCAGAAATTTAAAAGTTGATTTTCTGTGAGCCTATGTGTGTATGAGCCATCACTTGCTTTCTGGTCTCTATAAGCCTCATCAACCTTCTCTTGGCACTCTAGGTAGCTAGGGAAGTCCTTGCCAACAAGAAGTAATCAGCAAGCCCATAGGCCTCATTTCCTTCCAAGGATCCCATCAATTCTTCATAGCTGTGTGGCCCAAAAGCACCACTTCTGACATATGCCTTTACCTCTTCGAACCGTGGGTCTGCTGCAAACTGCACATAGAAATTTTTTAAATCCTATGTGTCCTAAAAGTTTTATTTCATAGCAAAATACCTTAATCATTATTTTTTTTTAAGTTTGACCGTTAAATTATAGGGTTTGACCAATATCTTTAACAGTCAAATTTAATGAAAGATGATTGCACAGAACAAAAATGCTATAAAATAAAACTTTTATGATGTATAAGAGCAAAAAACAAAAAAAATCTATGTGTTGAGTACTCCTTCGTAGATACTTCTGAAGTTTTTAAATCTCTTTATATATTAAATTAAAGTAAACTCTTAACCAGCTTTTATATTTAGAACTGCAAGCACCATATGTAATTAAAGGAGTTAAAAATCAAATTTCCGACCATTTACTCAAAAGACAAGACTCTTGATTTGTTACTTGTTTTTTATATTTAATGACTAGGGACCTTTCCAGCATGCTTGCATCTTGTGGAAGGATTAGTGGCTTTGGTATTTTGAACATACAGCTCAGTCTTTTTGTTTATGATGCACCTTTGACCTGGTAAAAAAGCAGAACGCTAATCACGGATAAGAGAGGGGCTTCTATGGAATTTACCATCTGGTTTCTCAAATGAAAATAAAAATAAGAGTCATGGTAATAAAATTTAAGATAATACTTATATCAGGTTGCTTATATCTATTAAGTTAAATTCTTCAATCACATATAGTCATATGTCTTATTTTTAATGGTCGTTGGTAATTGATGAACTCAACATAATAATGTAAGATGTGATCTAAGTATTTTTCTAAAATTTATTATAATTAGATTTTTTTTTTCAATAATAATTTGTACAATGAAGTTGCACAATCCCAACCATTTCAGGGTATTTTTTGGAATTTTGCCTAATTAAAATAACTATTCATGTCAAGAAAATTAAATATAAATAAGTCTGTATATTAAAAAGGGATTTCAATTGCTTAATTTTATCGGAAATAGCATATGCCCAAAAATGTCATAAATCTAATTAAGCATTTTTAACAAACACCCATCAAAATTAATCATTTTCACTTTATTCATAACAACACAATCAAGCATGAACAAACAGTTCGCGTTGCAATTCTCTTGCAGATAATATTTATTGTAGTTTTAAATTTAGAATACCAACGCAAGAGCTATAAATTTTTGTTTGTCATCCATTGTGGCCTTTTAACCAAAGTAAATCTCATCAAAATCCGACTCAAACTTCTCTCAATCTTCATATTTCCCACCAACTCATGTTTCACAGTTTCCAATGCACGTTTTCCTCTCCAAATGCTGATAAAAACACACCCCTAAGTTGTTGGCTTCCATGTTATACAATATCTCTTAAATGCACAAGCGTGGAATTTATTGATGTGGCGAGTTATGTATCATAAATAAAGATTTCAAAAAATATATACAAATAAACAAATCACATAGCTCAAAAAACAAATATTCATCAAATCAGAATCACTATTTATAAGCCATCAACTCCGTATAAGAATTTACAATAATCTATTAATCGTTCTCTACAATGCTGCTTATTGTCCAGACGACCTTATTTCATTTTCTAATTAACTTTGCACTTTGCAATCAAGCAAAGAATCTAACATATTACACACACACACACACACACACACAATAGCTAGCACCAAAAGATGCATTTTTGGTGTAGTTGAATGATCATTCATGAGAGACTACAAGAACTTGTTTCCCAAAGTTTCTTCCACTGAAGAGGCCAACAAGGGCTGCTGGGCCATTCTCAAGTCCTTCAGCAATGTCTTCAACATACACAACCTTCTTCTCTCTGATGAAAGGAAGCACAGTGTCTAAGAGCTCTGGATAGAGATGGTGGTGATCTCTGTGTGTAAATCCTTTCACAGTTAGCCTTCTGACAATAATCTGCATCACGTTCTTTAGGGTTTCAGGTTCAGCAATGTTGTACTGTGAAATCATCCCACACAAAGTGACACAGCCATGCACTTTCATGTTCCCCAGCACTGCATCAAGCATTTTGCCACCTACCTGCTCATAGCAGATGTCTATTCCTTCTGGGAAATACCTAATTATTAATGGAAAAGCATGTACACATTTTGTTAATTTAAGCTTTAATTAACTTGAAAATAGAATATCAAAACGTGGTTTTGGCTCAAACGTGAGTTTAGGGGTAGATTTGTTTTGCCTTGAACGTGGGTTTATGGAATCCAAACAAGTACTATATTCTACATGAGACTAAATTATAATTTACCTTTTCAAGGCTGCATCCAAGTCAGGCTCTTGCTTGTAATTGAAAGCATCATCAAACCCAAGCTTGTTCTTCAGCAGGTCAACCTGCAAAAACCATGAATAAATTTTATGTGTGTGTGTGTGCGCGCGTGATAATTAATTGACCTTTTTAAATGGGAAAAAGAATTATTAGATCATGGAATGTACCTTTTCTTGACTGCCGGCACTTCCAACTACATAACAACCCATCAACTTGCAATATTGTCCAATCAACTGACCAACTGCTCCTGATGCTGCTGTGACAAAGATTCTGTCTACTTTCTTTGGAGTGCAAACTTCATAGACTGCAGAATAAGCAGTAATACCAGCCATGCCTATTGCAAGACAGTCTCATAAATTCAATCCTGTTTACAAAATATGAAGGAATCCTAAAAAACGAAATGAAGTATAAGAAATCATTTACCAAGAATTCCAGTGTAGAAGGAAAGAGGCACATCAGTGTGCTGGATTTTGAAGAGTACTTGTGGTTGTTGAATGAGACTATAATCTTCCCAACCAGTTGTTCCCCAAACCAAATCACCTACACTGAAGTTTGGATCCCCTGAATCCACAACTTTAGCCACTCCAAAACCATTTATAGGCTGCAACATATTGAATTGGAGACAATTAGCAGTTGCAATGAAGACAGTTGATGTTAAAAAAACAGCAGTGAAAAAGTGATGAAAGTAATCAGAACTCAGTAATAAGGTCTCTATTTTTAGCTATCCAATGTCTTCATCATGTTCTTGGGAACCAAACTATTAAAAATGGTATGAAGTGATGGAACTTACAGAGCCAGGGGTATAATATTGATATCCATCAAGGTGTTGGTGTTGCGCTTTCCTCATTTGGAATTGCATGACAGGATCAACAGAAAGGAACAGATTCTTGACCAAAACTGCATTAGTTCCAGGAGGAATCTGGAGCTTGATGGCACTTGTAGTTATGTAAAAGTCAGATTCCTTAGGATGACCAGTGACATAGTCCCTAAGTATCACCTGCTTGTTCTT